CCTACAAAGAAAAAAGGACTATTTTGGGTATTAAAAAAACTCATTTAACCTTCAAATTTTTAGATACATTCTAGTAATAAAAACATATTTATGAATCAAATGAGTTTTTTTCCCAAATTCCTTTTTTTTTTCGCTAAAAAAGAATTCCATCTTGTTTTTTATAAACTTTTAGTTATTTGATACTCCCACTTCCTTTGTTTTGTTTTAAAATTTAAATGATGTTTTGGTTAAACATTCGAAGATTAAAAAACTACATTAAATAATGTGGCATAAGAAAAATTAAATTGTACCATGGCTTCAAAAATATATGTCTATATACTTTTTTGTGATTGGAAATGTCTTACATTATAGAATTTTACATGTAATCAAGTTTTACGAGACGCTCACTCATGGAGTCATGCATAGTTGACAAGCAAGAAACTCATGGATCTTTTCCTCTATCGTACGTTATTGTGTTGAAGGCTTGAAGCTGCTCGTGCGAGGAGTACATTAGCTTTACTTGGACTGGAGAAGGACCGAAGAGAATGGAGCCACATTGTAGGTCTCCGCCACGCCGGCCACACCTTCCCTTACAAAATCATTCGGTGACTCAAGGTTTGTGTCAGCCTGTGGAAACATCAAGCATGAGATGCGAGTCGGTCATGGAATCAGAGAGCCAAAGATGAAAATAAAGATATAAAGAAACACTGACCACACGGAACCATTGTTTTCCCGGCGGTGGCGGTGGAATCAGAGCCTTGACAAAGTAGTCGTGCGCGTTGAATGCTGCATAGATGTCACGCCAACCTGCACTGTCATGGAGCCTGCAAGAAGAAGTCGCTTATTAATAAGAAAACCGACAACTCGTCTCGATTACCAGTTATAGGTGAGCAAACGGGAATTTATAACAGAATTTTGTAATAGCGAACGAGCGGAAATTAAAGAATGAGAAATCTTGTCCCATGATCATTTCATTTGAAGTTAGGGACGAATATTTTACAGAAAACAAAAATTTGCTCGACTAAATGATATCTTACGTGAAAGCTAGGAACTTGCTCTCAGGGTTGCCCCAATTATCTTCATGCCATGTAATCTCTCCCTAATAAACCAACATCAACATCAACATCAGAGTAGCACAAAAATGCAAGTAATAAGATGTAAACGAGATGAGGTTTACTTACTTTGCTGAGGAAATTTTCGTGCTTGAGAACATGGTGTGAATGTCGGAACTTGATCACCTCAGAGAAAAACCTGAAATGGTTCTGCTTCTTTGCGTCGAGCTGGAATTCAAAAAGAAGACATGATTCTAGTTCATGGAGGAATCTCGTAATAGGCAGAGAAGAACAAATCATGAGATAGATGTCTTGCCTCTTTCCACTGGAAATTATTGAGAGCGGTATCATGTCCGTAGCTATTGTTATTACCATACCGCGTATGTCCATATTCGTCTCCCATTAGCATCATTGGTGTTCCCTGATCAATTGATCAACATCAGTTTCATACGAATTTAAGTTTTTTAATAGAATTTATATGGGTTTATATTGGCAATAATTTACCTGAGAAATCATCAAAGCTAAATGAAAATTCTTCATTTGCCGAGCACGTAAGGACTTGATGTGAGCGTCACCAGTTTCACCTGTCAAGAAACAGAGTATATAAACTTGAATACTGGAATAAAAAGCTTCAATGTTGTGCACTGAAGTCGTAATTGTACCTTCAAAACCACAGTTCCAACTATGATTGTCATTACATCCATCATTTCCTCCTTCTCCATTGGCCTCATTGTGCTAAAATACAGAAGAGATATGTAAAGCACAGACTCATCCAGGCTTCAAAATCAACACATTAGAGATAAAAAGTACCTTAAAGTTGTATGTTACAAGATCTCGCAACGTGAATCCATCATGCGCAATCACGAAATTAACACCATGGTAAGGCTTCCGCTGGTTAACCTTTATAAGAGGAGGGAAAATTCCATGATATCATGAAACCTACTTGAATTCTTCTTAAGTCAATGCATCTAACCGTTCCCAAAACAAAAGTTCAGAATTGATATAAAAATTAATAACTTTAACGAATCTTACCTGGTAAAGATCAGAAGATCCAGAAATACGAGTAGCAAAGCTTCCTTTCATACCACTATCACCCTAAAAAATGTGGAACATTAGAGTGCTTTCTGCGAATCTTGCCTTTCTAAAGACTAGGTAAAAAAGTACTTAAGCACTCCAATGTTGTATACCTTGATAAATCTTCTAACATCATCCCGGTACATCCCGTTCCACTCTGCCCACCTGAGTTGGAAAAAGTCCAGTAGCCATACCGGTTACACAGTTTATTATCACAGAACTTTGGAAGGAACTACCAAGCATAATACTATTGTGGAGGCATCAAGTTAAGCTAGTTTCAAAGCTAAATGGTTACCTATCCCAATTTGGAAACTTCCCAACTAGATATAATCCTCCACAATCCCAAGGTTCAGCAATTATTTTACATCTTGACAGAACGGAATCCTTGGCAATTGCCTGATTCCACGAGAAATTACAATATGAGTACGTTGATAGCTGCTATTTTATTATTTTCGAAAATGCATACACAATGCATTATAAACCCACCCTTATAAGTGGGGGAGCATTGAGTGGAGATCCATCTGTTCCTCGGCAAAGCACACTAGCGAGATCAAATCGGAAACCGTCCACGTGATATTCAGTGACCCTGCAGTTAGGTAAAAAGAAGAGAACAGAACCGGTAGTGATTAACTATGTAAAATAACCATAATGTCTGTCAAGAAGAGACAAAGATCAATGAACGATCCTTTCAAATCACTGTCACGTGCAAGATACAATTTAAGGTAGTTGGTCCATTATTTAGTAGCTGACATTGATTTTTTCCATACCAGTGCCTTAAGCTATCTAGGATTAGTTCCATAACAACAGGATGGTTACAGTTCAGCGTATTCCCTGCAATTAGAAAACAAAAGAGTAGTTGAGGATCTATTACAGCTGACCGAAAACCAAACATTTCATTTTAAGTATGGAATTTTCAAAAGTTAAGCCTGGAATAAGCTTCAAAATAAATTACCACAGCCGGAAAAGTTAAGCAGTTGGTTGTTTGGATCAAGCATGTAATAAATCTGCAGACAGATTTCACAATGCTTAGAGTTTAGATATAATAAAAGCAATAAGTTGAAATGAGGGTCACCCTTCTTATGACTCGCCTTATTGTCTATGCCACGAAATGAAGTGGTGTAAGGGTATTTATCATCTGCTTCATTGGTATGATTATAAACCACGTCCAAAATGACCTGCAGAGAAAAATTGTAAGAATTGTTCTATCTTTTACAATAAGTTCGACAAGGAATATTATTGGCAAAAAGAACAAAATAAAACTAGAAGCTCCAAGGAAGGGCAATACAAGGCATTGCTACCTCTATACCAGCAGAATGCAAGGCTTTGACCATTTCTTTAAACTCTTTGGAAGCTTTAATAGGGTCTCCCTCACCACTAGCATAACGGCTCATTGGAGCAAAAAAGTTAATTGTCGAGTAACCCCAAGTGTTAACCTACCAACAAAAAAAAATCTCTCTTAGGTCAGGGGAAACACTGAAATTCCCATTTATGAAGACTCAGATTTAAACTGAATTTTGAAAAGGGAAACATTTTATAGCTATAGCGGCAACAAGACCTGCAAGAAATATTACAAGCATAAGAAATGCAAAGTGCTAATTCGTGATTACCATGTGATCTCTAGGGTTTGGGCGCCTCTGAAGCTCCAGTTCATCGAACTCAAACACTGGCAATAACTCCACTGCATTTATACCCAGATCTACAAGGTGTGGGATCTTTTACAAGAAGAAAAAAAAAGAGTAAGTTTGTAAAAGAAGCTTTGCACATAAACATACAAGCAGGTGAACCATGTCCTTAATATATATCATACTAAGCTTTTTCAGACCTAGTGTTTTAACCCTCGTGCTCATCGGATGTGCAGTAATTTCAGCATCTCAACATATTTTTGAGGTAGACTATAATTTACCTTCTCAATGAGACCAAGATAACTGCCCGCTATAGCTGAATCTATCCCACTGGATTCATCAGCAGTAAAAGCACGAACATTCATTTCATAAACAACAAGATCCTTCTGCAAAACAGCAGCAGAAGATAAGAAAATCTGATAGAAAATAGAAACACTGCAAGAAACCTGGAAAGAGACATCAATGCTGTAGAATTATGAATTCCATTAATCAGAGCCAGAAAAATAGCTCATCAACAGAACTGTGCAACAACTAGCAGAAGGGTTGAATGAAACTTGTACCTCAGGTATGTTAGGAAACTCGTACTCATCTCCCCAGTTAAATGGTGAGCTCTCGAAGTCATAAGTTCCATAGAATTTAGCAAATTTTGGGCTACTATCTCCAAAAAAGCGGCGGCCCTTCACTAGCTTTGCATAGGGATCCAAAAGCACAATGCTACTGTCAAACCGATGTCCTTGATTCCATTCCCCAGGACCATCAACACGGTAACCATAAAGGACATTTCTGAGAGGTAAATCCTATCATAATGGACAAAATTCACAGCCATGAACAGAAGAGAAAAAGATTGTGCAAGAAATGAATTTCTGAAGGAATTCCTCGGTGTATTATACTACCTTAACACAAATGTGCCAAGTATCCCCAGTCTTGTTTTTGTTGGGATCCAAAACTAACTCGATCATACCATCATCATTCACATTAGCCTCATTACTGGAAAACACATCACCAAAGAACAATAGCATCAATAGCTAAGCAACAAAAACATAAGCAAACTTCAAAATCTAAACTCTGAACAATAGACACACAAGCCTCTCAAAATATGAACATATAAATACCTGTGGGGAAGTGATAAACAGAGTGTGACAGAAGTGGCGTTCTGAGAGAAGAGAGCAAAGTTGATTCCGTTGTCGACTTGCGAGACACCAAGAGGAGATTTCTCACCAGAGGAAACATTGAAGGATTGTCTCGTCTCCGTCATTGGAGATGCTGCTTCTTCCTAGAAATCAGAAAAAATCCATTTCCGTCAAAGGGATTTTCACAATTCGAATCACTAAAACTCTAAAACCAAAAGAAAAGATCTACCTCGACCACACGTTGGTCTGCACGACGACAAGAGACCTTAAGTGTAGAACGATCCTTAATCTACCTACGATGAAACAATGAACATCGTATAATTCGCCTTCTTTTCTTCTCTTGACGCAAACGAAAGTTGGGGATTAAGAACAAGACTTGCCTTACGGGAGAAAACTCGAGAAAACGTAGCTCCACTCGGTTTCCTGCTCAATTTCAATCTACGAGTACGAAGCCAACGAAGAATCAGAATTCGAAACAGGATCATAATTTCAAAGGAGAGAAGAGTGGTAATCGACTAACCCCATGGGAACGAAGCAAGAGAAGGCATTACCGGAGGAGTGAAACGCCGTAGAAAGGGCACAAGTAGAAAGAGAGTTAAGCATCTCTCGTTTGCTTCTAAATGGTCGAATCTGCTTTTAAGTGAGAATCTAATGTTTCTTCTTCCTTTTGTTTGTGACTGAGAGAGTAGTGTAGAAGGAGAAAGTGTTTGTGATGGGACATTGGGAAAAAACAAGGAGGATCGTTCATTTTTAGGTAACTGCCACGTGAACGGAAGCGCGAGCTCCGTGCATTTTGCTTTCATTGTTGTTTTTCTCGGGAATTTTGTCATTTTCCCGGAAAATATCTTGCGGTCACACATTTTCTAAATGGGGGCCTAGGTAGTATCAAAGTGGGCTTGTGAGTTTGGGCCTCAATTATTATTCTCTCCATATTCATCAGAAAACCCTAAACCCCCTGAAACTTCTTTTCTCCACCGTTCTTCTGCAAATCGCCGGCGATATTTTGTGGGGTTTGATTTTGAACATTTTTGTACACTTTCGAATTGATTTGATCTGAATTGGAATTTCGGATTCATCGATTTTACTTATATTTTCCAGATTTGAGGATGACGCTAGGGCTGTTATTGGGGATTGGAAGAACATTCCGAAGAAAGCGAGCTTCTTCGCTTGATATTCTCTCTCCCAAAAGAGCTCCTAGAGATTTCTACAAGGGGAAGAACTGCAAACCCACTGGTTTCCACACCAGAAAAGGTTTCATTGTTCTTCCTAAATTTTCACGCATTCTATGGGCTACCTTTTCTTGTATTGCATCTCTGTTTTCAAGTTTCATTTGAATCTGGAACTTTATGGTTTGCCCTTATGCTGCAGTTTGAGAAAGTTGTTCTTGGTTATGGAAGTGGTGTCTGAGAATTCCGACTTGTTTGAATTAGATATGTGTAATCTAAGTAGAGCTATTATCAGCCAATTTTCAGGAATTTACTATATTCTTTAGGTGGAAAGCTAAAAACTTGAACTCAATTTTGGCAAAATTGATCATCGTATAGAATTGGGTGATGTAAAGCATTTGCATTTTTCTTTACAGATTCCATTTATAACTTTCTCTAAGTTTGTGACATTGGGTTTTTGCAGGAGGATATGTTGTGCAGCCAGATAAATTGCCAAACTATGTAATCCCTGATCTGACCGGCTTTAAGGTTTTCATTTAAACCCTTAAACTCCTTTGATTCCTCTATATTGCATTGTAATTGAGAACATGAGAACTCCCTTGAGAAGAGAATCTTTTTACAAGTCCTACTGGTCAAACTCCTTAGGGTTTGTGATCCTGGTGACTTTACTTCGTAGTGAGTTTTGTGTTAGGAACCTGAAATGGAATGGATACTTGAATGCATAATTAAGCTTATTGTGTGTCTGGTTTTGGCTTTGCTGATGAACTTTTGTATTTTTTACAGCTGAAACCATATGTATCTCAATGCCCTGTACAAGTCAACACAACCGAGTCAGCTGAAGCTTCCAAGTGAAGAAGTAAGAAGAAATATGTTCAAGTAGTCGTCTTCGTTAGCAATAATAAAATAAGGAATGTGTTCGACGAAATTCGAGTTCTATTCATGATCATTAATCCTTTTTGTTAACAGAGTGAGAAATTGTGTGATTTGGGTTCAAGGACTCCAAATGGAATGGAGAGCTTCCCGTCTCCCTAAAAAGAAAATGTTAAATGGAAAAATATACAAAGCTATTTTGCAATTTTTATTTTTTTATGGTAAACAACTGAAATCAATAGGACCCATATGATTGGGAGATCTGGATAACAGAGAATCCACAAAGTGTATCCTTCACAAAACCCAAACACACACTCCATTTTCTTCAGACATCTCTCTTTCTCTCATCAGAAACAAGAAATGGGAGGAGTCTCTTTCCTCTCCACTGTTCCTTCTTTCACCAATCTTCAACAAAATCTCACACTCTCTTCTTCTCATCGCTCTGTGAGTTTCTTCAGACCATTATTTCACATCTTCTACTTACGGTTATACCACTTTCTCATTTCTTCTAACCATCTCAATTTTGATTGATGATCATTCATCAGGCTGTCATTCGATGCTGCAAGATCAAACCCCAAGTTTCCGGTGAAAGTTTAGCTTTTCACCGCCGGGATGTTCTCAAACTCGCCGGCACCGCCGTTGGAATGGTACCTTAACAAATTCACTTGCTTGAAATTTCACAGTATTCTTGATAGTTGATACAATGATAGCCCTCAAGTTTGCTGCTCAATTCAATTACACAAAAACGTTGGTCCAAATGAGAAATTGAAATGTATATATGTGTTGTGTGGTTGTCTTTTGATGAAGTTGATGCCTTTTTGTCAGTTGAATTGTGGGTATAATGTGATTGATGAGTTCTTGGCAGTGATGATCTCTCTTGTTAGGAATTAATAGGTAATGGCTTCACTAACCATGTGGGTGATGCAAAAGCCGCTGATTTGAATCAGCGTAGACAGCGATCCGAGTTCCAATGTGAGTTGTGTCCACAGTTTACAAAAATGTAAACACTAATGAAGTAACCAAGAGGTTGTTTGTTGACACTATAATGCTTCATTTTGTTATGCAGCAAAGATCAAGCTTACGCTTTCGACAGCCATTAAGGGTAAACCAGAGCTTGTACCTTCCATACTCACTCTCGCCCTCAATGATGCCATGACCTATGACAAGGTCAGGCTTCTTATTTCTCTCATTCCATCTCTCTAATGATGGCACAGCTCTTGACAAATAGCATTAATGTTATGTATAGGCTACAAAATCCGGGGGAGCCAATGGATCAATACGGTTCAGGTACTTGTTGCTCTTTAAATGTTCTCTGCAATTAGGTTTGTGCTCAATAGAGGAATAAGAACATTAGCAGAGTAAGTCTTTACATGATATCCTATGCAATCAGAAACTTTAGGATTGATCTTATCTTTATGTGAAGCTCTGAGCTAAGCAGACCAGAGAATGCGGGGCTTTCTGATGGGTTGGGTTTGATTGAGGAAGCCAAGAAGGAGATTGACTCGTTCTCTAAGGGCGGGCCTATTTCATATGCAGATCTCATTCAATTGGCAGGTGATGATATAGCTCATACCAAAACTTGTTCATCAACTGAGAGCATTGTTTTGTGAAACTGAAATCTTTCCTCGGTCGGTTCTGCAGCACAATCAGCAGTCAAGTCTACCTTTTTAGCATCGGCAATCCGCAAATGTGGTGGAAATGAAGAAAAAGGAAACTTACTCTACACAGCATATGGTTCAAGTGGTCAGGTATCTCAAGGTTTTTTTGTATTCTTCATTTTGAGTCGCAACACATTGTTCAAATCAAGACTGAGATGATGTGAATTCGTTAGTGGAGCTTGTTTGATAGACAATTCGGAAGGGGTGATGCAACAGAACCAGATCCAGAAGGCAGAGTGCCACAGTGGGGCAAAGCAACTGTGCAAGAGATGAAAGATAAGTTCATTGCCATTGGATTGGGTCCTCGTCAGGTACATGCTTACGAGTCAGACTTGAGTCTAGAGAAACGTTTGTCAGAGCAACCAAAGTTACTAACCTATATTCAATCCATGTTTGGGTATTTGTAGCTAGCTGTAATGTCTGCATTCTTGGGTCCAGATCAAGCCGCAACAGAAGAGCTCCTAGCTAGCGACCCGCAAGTTGCTCCATGGGTTCAGAAGTACCAACGAAGCCGTGAAACCGTATCTCAGACAGATTATGAGGTTAGTTTTGCTTGATCTGGCTACTAAATCATAAATTCGTCTACTTTAAACTCAAGCTCATCTTTGAGTTTTGAACATGTTCGCAGGTTGATCTGATAACTGCGTTGACAAAGCTAAGTGGTCTAGGACAGCAAATCAACTACGAGGCATACACATATCCTGTCGAACGGATCAATCTGAGCAAACTCAAGCTATGAGTTAAAAAGCCATGTACGCTATAATGTAACCTGACCAAACTCAAAACACTTTTCTGTTGAATTGCCAAAACAGTTCAAAGAGTTTTTACCTTTGCAAATGAAAAACAAAGCGAGGTTATGGCAAACCATTAATACTAAAAGTGAATTCAGTCGAATCACGAGAAAATAAGAATCCAGTAGCATCCACGATTAATAAGAGCAAAGAAGGACAAGAATTAGACGACCTCAGAAGCTTGGGATAGCAAAATAAGAAGAAGAAAAATCAGAAAAGCAACACAGAAACTTCTCCAAGGAAAAACATATTAATGGAGAAGTTTAGATACTGAAATAACAAAGCAAGACTTAGGACTGTTGCTTTTCTTCAGCAGGCTTGGGTGCTGCTGCTTCTTTGATAGTATCTTCAGCACCATCGTCCTGAATATACATTTTGTCAATCACACAATCAGAACCAGACCAGAACAAATGAAGGAAAGAGGAAGAAATCATCATAATGCAAACTAAACCCATTTGATTTACATAATCTAGTCTTTCGGAATGGTTTAATTAGGCTCATGGTTTCAGAATTCAAGCAACAAAACTAAAAAGGGGGTTGAAGTATAATTTACCTGCATATCAGAAGTCCAGAGAGTGAGGTTATCACGAAGAAGCTGCATGATCAAGGTACTGTCCTTGTATGATTCTTCGCCAAGAGTATCCAATTCAGCAATTGCTTCATCAAATGCCTGGTGAAATCCATGGATAGAAAATTTGTCAACACACATACAAGTAAGCAGCGACATTAACCATGGAAATATGCTAATAATAGAGCAGACCTGCTTAGCGAGATTGCAAGCACGGTCTGGAGAATTGAGAATCTCGTAGTAAAACACAGAGAAGTTCAAGGCAAGACCAAGACGGATCGGGTGAGTTGGAGCCAATTCAGAATTAGCAATATCCTACAAAAACCAAACAGATTCTCAAAATTCCAGAAGCAAAAAAACCTAAAAAACTCAGTCGCAAATCCATGAAAATCATAGAGAATCAAGTCAACGGAATCAGATCGGAAAACCTGAGCGGATTTGTAAGCAGTTAAGGTATGTTCTGCGGCGTCTTTCCTCTCCTGGGCGGTTTTAAACTCAGCCAAGTACCTGTGGTAATCTCCTTTCATCTTGAGGTAGAAAACCTTTGAATCTCCAGATGCAGCAGCGGGAATGAGCATAGTATCGAGGAGCTTTAGGATTCCGTCGCAGATGCCCGAAAGCTCGGTCTCGATTTTGGTTCTGTAGTCACGGATCAAGGAGACATGGTCATCGTTGCCGCGGCTCTCTTCTTTCTGCTCGATCGATGAGATGATACGCCACGAAGCACGACGAGCGCCGATCACGTTTTTGTAAGCGACGGAGAGAAGGTTACGTTCTTCGATGGTGAGCTCGTCTTTGTCTACGGCCGTCGCGACTTTCTCCATAAACTCAACCATCTCTTCGTAACGCTCCGCTTGTTCCGCGAGCTTAGCCATGTAAACGTATTCTTCCCTAGCCGAGGAAGCTGCTGGTGCCGCCGCCATTTCTCTTCGTCGATTGATCGGAACGAACGCGAATGATTTTCAGATCTGC